ATTGAACTTTTTAAGAGTTCAAAAAAAAATGCAGTTATTTAAAAAATAAATTTGATATGAATGATTTGGTAAAAATCAAATTTTGTCTCAGGTTGTAGAATAAATATTTTTCAAAATGATTATTTATTCATCAATTAACATATACAGAAGAAGTGTTAAAATATTTTTATATGGATCCATTACCATTACCTATGTTGTTCGATTATTTGATGTGAAAAAAAAATTCAATTCATCCACTTGAAGATGGAGAAAATGTTCTTGGTCCAGAATTACCATATCTTAGTGCACTTGTAGTATTAACTTATTTTACAAAGTGCACTCGATCTGACATGACTTTTTCTATAAATTTTCTTACAAGTTATAGTTCTACACTAACTTAAAGATATTGAAATCATGTTAAACATATTTTTCGTTATCTAAAGGGTAATACTGATTGGGATTATTTTATTCTCAAAAGTTGGGATTTGCTTCAGTGGGATATACAGATGTAGGTTATCTCTCTAACCCATATTAAGTTAAATTATAAATCGGATACATGTTGACATATAGAGGAAGAGCTATATCATGGATTAAGTGAAGCAATCATTGACAGCGACATCCTTAAATCATTATGAAATTATTGCAATCCATGAAGCAGACCGAAAATGTATATGGTTAATGAACATAACTCATCATATTCAAGCATTATGCAGATTAACTTAAACAAAAGATAGTTCAACAATTCTGCATGAAGACAATACTGTTTGTATCGCACAACTCAAAGGAGACTATATCAAATGTAACAGGATGAATCATATTTCTCCAAAAAATTTCATACACATGAGCTTCAGAAAAATGGTGACATCGATGTTCAACAAATTCACCAATTGACAATGTGACTGATTTATTTATAAAAGCATTGTCAACGTCTACATTTAAGAAATTAGTTCACGAGAATGAAATGTATCAACTCAATGACTTTCAGTGATCAACATCAGGGGAATAGTTTGTACTCTTTTTTCTTTGCTTAAATTTTTTCCCACTAGATTTTTCCAGACAAGGTTTTCGTGGGGGAACATTCATCTTTAATAGTGTAAAATAACTACACTCTTTTTCCTTTGTTTTTTTTTTTGTCCCATTAAATTTTTATAAAACAAGGCTTTAGTAGGAATGTTATAAATGGTAAGTTTATTAGTGAATGACAATTATATCTTTACAATCTTAGAAATTATTACCATTATATCTTTAATCATTTCCTATAAATATAAGACTTTGATTCTCATTATAATACATATAAGTCTATTGATTTTAATTCTCAATTCTCTTTTTCTCTCTTTTCTTAACCGTTCAAGAATTTATGCACATTTATAACTGTGTCCTCGTGTATGCACGTGTTCCATTGAATTTATACAATAATTGATGTACAACATGATAGAGAAATGAAAAAGGGAACCACTAGAGGCCAAGTAGTTATTTTGTCTTTCTTTATTCATAATATGGATAGTAATTTTTTTTTTTTTTTTTTATCAAAATGTGACAAATTCTTGACTACCAACCCCAAAAATAAAAAATAAAAAATAAAAAAAATAGTAATAATCCATCCTTGTGAGTAGCACCCATCAGTATATAATTTAGTTAGATTTTGGTGAAACAAAGGGACAAAAAAATGGCCCCCTCAAACGTATACCTTTTATTAGCCAACAAAAACAAGTGTTATGCAGGGTGCTTCTTTAAAATATAACTCGTTATTTTTTATTCCAATTATTACATAAAACATATCTTTGTTGTTTTGTTGTAGGTTTTTACAGAAATTATCCAACTATTCAGGTTGATCGTGAACTACCTCATATAAAATTTAAGTTATTAAAGAGAGACCACACGTTAATTTAGATCTTTTTTGATGTACGTTCCATCATGTGCAGAAGTCATGTTTGTCTACCATTATTTTAAAATTCTGTTTTTCTCAAACTCATTTTTAACTGTATATTTTCACAATAAAGTCATTGTTTGGACTTCATTATTCCAAAATACATGTTAACAAAACTCATTTTTAAACATAAATTTTTTCATAAAATAATATTAAACATAAATCTAAAATATTTTCTTATCTTTTAATTATTTCTTCTCCAAACAATTACAATTCCCAAATACATTTTCTCTCAAAATCACATTTCATCTTTTGGTGATAAAACTCGAACCCATATCTTTTTGTTGGCTTTAATATTATGTTAATCATTCTCCTAAAAGTTGAAATGACTGTGCAACTTTTATATTTATTTTAAATAAGAAAAATATTGTATGAAATCAGATTTTCAGTAGATTTTGGTAAAAGATGACGAAATGTGAGGGTTCATAATATATGTGATTTAAATTTAAATTAAATTTTAATTTAAGTCTAAATTAAATTTTTAATCCCTACCAATAGTAACTTAGTCATTCAGGTAATTCAAACGAGCTAAGCCACCATGTAGTATATATCCATCTTAGTATCGTTTAAACATTCAAACTATTTTCCCACTAATATCCATGAGTTTGGATTCTCTATAAGTGAAGGCATGTTAGCATAAAATTGAGTTATTAACATAAGAAGGTATTTTTCAGAAAGGACACAACATTTTTGAACATAGAATTGAAACACACTTATTTTCTAAACTAAACATTTTAATCCAAAAACCTTTTTTGTCGACACACCCCTTCTCCACGGTCGACAAAAATGTAATTTGAAAATTATTAGATTACCTGGAAAGAGAATTATTGGGTGTGTGTTTAATTAAATACATATACAAAACTCATGCACGCTCACTGATATTCAATTTAGCTTCAAATTTTCTCTCTCCGTGACGTGTCCTGTTTATCCTCTTCTATACTAACAAAAATGGCCGAGTTAGTAGTATTACGGTAATTGATATTTCATGTAATCACTTCATGGCACCCTAAAAACGAAAATGGTAAGATGAAGATTACGGAAATGTCTTTATATTAAATTGTGAAAAGAAGTGTTTTCATAGTGGTCCGTTGACATGTCTCAATGATTATGTGAAGATTTTGTTACAGTATGTCTGCCAATTAATTAATTCTTATCAATTTGAAATACAGTATATGATGGAATGATGAATTTTGAAACTAAAATTGAATTCCAATGACCAGATTGAAATTTTACATGAAAGTTGAAACATTGCAAATTAATTTATCAGTACATACAACATGTCATATCAATACATTATTCAATTGAGACTTTTGAAAACTTTGATGGATTTTTTAAAGTGATGACTTCTGTGAATTTTGTTGATCTTTTATAAATTTGTATAAAATTAGTGAAAGCCTTTCGTAGACTTTTATGAACATTCATTTTAAAATTTTTATAGACTTTTGTAAAATTCAAAATTTTTTTTGAAAACTTTCATTTGAAATAAAATTCACATGAATCTAGTACAATGGTGTGAAATTTTCACATACGAGGTGTTGTTTCCAACAATTTCCCTTTTCTTTCCTCTTCTTCTTCTCATATTATAAAAATTTAAGACTTTAATTAAATAAATGATAATCAAAATTATATATATGATAAACAATAAATTAAATATTCAATATTATTAATATAATATACTTTTAAAAAAATAAAAATCAATGTAATTAAATTTATTTATACATTTCATATAAAATTTTATAATTTAGTAAAAATAGATATTTTTCACAAAAAATGAATGAAAAAGGAAAAAAAGTTACAAGAATCTAATTTAATTTTTCATAGAAAATAGAGATAAATAATAAGAGAGAGAAAGATAAATGGAAATAAATATAATCAATAAAAAAATAAATTTAAATCATACCTCTAATGTTTGTAGAAGAAAAAATGAAAGAAAGATTGAAAAAGTATATATATTTTTTGTGAAAATCTCCCAAAATCTCATGCTTAATGAAAAACAAATTTTGAGATTTTATATGAGTACTTTCTACTTAAAAACTAATACTACAGAGACTTTTATAATAGTATCTAGAAGTCATTAAAATTTGAATACTCCAAGACTTATAGAGACTTTTAAAATATTTTAATTGAATATACCGTAACTTTTTGGAGATTTTTAAAAGTCAGTAAAAATATCAATACATCGTGACTTTTAGAGATTTTTTAAGAGTTTATAAAAGTCTTAATTGAATATATTAATACTTTTATAGTCCTATAAAATCTACATTGAATACCCCCAAACTATTTAAATCTCATCAAGTCATAAAAAGTCTTATTTAAATCTCCCAAACTATTTAAATTTATGATCCATCTCAATATTTTGATTAAAGTCATTATTATGTCATTGATGTTTAACAGTAATAGATCATTCTCTTACACCAAGAGATGGGGGGAGAGAGAGTAAATTGTGGTGAGGTGCGTCTCCTTTGGAGTTCACATAGAATCAAATTTATAAATGCATTTGATTCTTTGTTAGCATCAGTGTATAGACAAGCCCTTGTTCCTTGATCTATTAGGGCACATACCACGATTTACGTCCTTCACGATGCTCCAAGAACGGGGCGGTGGGGACTCTCAAGATTGGAGTTCAATCTTTATAAATGCCAAATTTCGTCACCTCAGTCCAACTCATTTAGTTTATTGCTATGCTGGCATTTCTCCTATTAGAATAATGTGGCTCACTCATATTCAGAGGTCTTCAATTATATGTGCCGACAAGAATGTTCAACTCTCGTGTACCTTTGAATTTAAATGCATATACTCCCGGGTCCCAATAATTTAGTTAGTAAAATTTTAACTTATTTTACTTTCAATCTACTATAGCAAACGCGCCATTAATATTTTCAACGACCTCACTTGTATGAGTAATGGTCGACAATCAATCCTGTCAACAACATACACTCGTGGGATGCATAGTAAGTAAGTTTGAAGATCATGTCCAGTGGAGCTTATATCCTTGACGATAGTGTCATTTTCATTTTTAAAATTCAAAAATTCGTACCGATCAGTAATAATCAAAGTCAAATCGTAATCTTACGAGTTAAGCAAGCTCAATATAAAATAATCAAAATCTTGTTAAGTATCTCATCCACTCCAAAGTTAAATGGAAGAAATTTCTAGGGAAAAAGAATTTCTTATTTTTGTTTACATTTTTGTGCAGGTTGTTACCTACTACATGGACAGGAGAAAATTACAAGGTAGAAAAATAAAATAAAATCTAAAGAGAGAACAACAAGACCCTCAGAAATTGTATTGCCCTTTTCCTTTTACTTCCAAATTCATTTCTTAGTGCTTCTTTTTTCCCAGAAAACCTTCTGTCCACAAAAAAACAAAAGAATTAGGTCTTAGAAATTGTGCAATATCATGACATTTCAAATAATTATTCACCTGATTTTCCTGATGCTGATTTCCCTTTCATCGAAGGTTTGAGGAAATTTAAATGCTTTTTCCTTGTAGATTCGCCCTACAGGAAATTGAAGGTGTTACGAAAAAGCAAGAATAGACAATATAAAAATAATAACAAGAACACAAGATTTACGTGAAAATCCAAGATGGGAAAAGACACTATATCAAAGATGATTATAAGAGGTGAGACTACTTTGAATGATATAATATGATGAAACCCTAATATATATAATAAAATAGGTCTATATCGTGGGGGTAGAGCCTTCGCACTCCATAGGGATCAATGGTGGGTTACGGGATCGAGCCTCTCCCTCCGCTGCCACCACATACCCTCATTTTTCTTCATAATTCTAGTTTCAACATATATGTCGCACCATGAGCTTTTCAGTCCATGCAACAGAATTCGGATCACCATATTCTAACAGAACGAGATAAAAGAGTTTCTTCAGAGCTACAATGGACCCCGCCCCTCTATGTCTCTTCAAAGTTATCAGAATTATTTTCTCAAGACTCACCGCGAAATTTGCAGCAGATGCTTCTTTTGAGAAATAAGGGACATGTTCCTTTTCATTTTGATTGCCAAAAGATCCTACATTGTCCTGAAATTCGATCAAAAAACTAATTATCTACGATTCATCGAAAATAATAGAGAATAATGCTGTTTCACTGAATTAACCTGGGAGAAATGAATGAAAGGTGAGCTAGCAGTATCACCAAGATACAATTTTTGTTGCTCTTTTGTTTTCTTCTTCTGCTTGCTCTTCATTAGACGTCCAACGGGGGATTCTTCGTACTCATTGAGAATCGGAGGGCCAGATGATGCATCAGACACCATGGATAGATCTTCTTCTTCTGATTCATCATTGGCATAACTTCCTTTTCCATAATACTCATCAATAGGCCTACCAAAACTCGAGTTGTATCGACCCGAGTAATTCGAAAATTGATCGAAATACGTAGTCCATCCGGATTCACAACCGCTACTATATTCAGAATTTGATATGTTCATTCTATCAGATAAAGATTTTCTTCTATGCAGGTTTCTTGCTCAGAAGAAAGAGATGTAACTAGTTATAAGTAGAAGAGAAAGTTGAAAGAAAGAATAATACAAACAATAAGAAAAAACCACACTTAAAATCCCAGACCAGTTTATCTGATCTGTGAAGAATCAAAAATTGCCAGTTTTCACGGTTTGAGTGTGGTGGGGTTGAAAGAGTTGGATACTGACAAGGTGAAATGATACGAAATTGGATTGTGGAAGGTTACCGTCTTGTAATAACATGTTTGATAGTGAGGCTCTAGGCCTTTTGGCCTCCATTATAATATACTCAAAATATATTTTAGAATAGCGAGCTTTTAGATAATATGTGGAGAAAGGATGAAAGAACAATTTTTGATTTACGAGTATTATTTTATAAAAAAATATGTGGTTGAAGATAAGTTTTGAAAAAAAAATGTATTATAAAAATAATGGAGCCCAAACAAGGGGCCTAAAAAATTAGTCCTTATATAAAAAAAACTGAAATTGAAATTTATATATATTCCCCCCTGATGTAGTGCCGCAAAACAAAATGAATCCTTCTTCACGTACAGAAAAGGAAATTACAGAAAAAATACATAATGCACACATGCATGGGGAGAGTGGTTTGTCTTTTTCAATATAAAACTCACATGGGGTGGGCCATGTGAGTTTTCAAATTTTCTTTTGTTCTTGAACAGTTCTGTACACACAGAATTGTTCAAACAAAATACACTAAGCCCTCGTTTGGTCCCTATTCTTTTCAAATTTTAAGTGTTAGAATAGTGTTTTTTGAAACGTTTGTAATTGAAAAAGAATGAAAAGTGTAATATTATTTTATGAAAGATTGTGTGGTTGAAAATAAGAGAGAGAAAAAGAATGGTGGCCAAACAAGGGCTAAGCCCTTTTTTTGTCCTATTTTTTAAAAAAAATTCATGGTTTTTCAAACTTATTTTTAAGAATAATGCTATTTGCTGTCGCTCACTGCGACAGTCGCCCTACGTAGTATACACATGACAGGTGGTTATTTGATACATTAATGAATAAAAAACTACTATATTAATGCATCAAATAATCACTGCCATGTGTATGCCACGTAGGACGACTACCGCAATGAGCGACTACAAATAGCATTACTCTATTTTTAACCATAAACTCTTTCAAAAAAATAATTTGTACGAAAATTCATAACTTTTTCCACCTTTTAATCACATAAAAAAAAAAAACACTATTCTTACAAAATTTCTAGGGGCTAGTATACATGGGACATCATATTTGGATTAGGAAAATAAGAAGACATAAGTTGAAGGACTATATTGGATTGAATGATGGTGTATTGTTTTAATATGGCGTTGGATGCAACACTGAATTAAAAAGCATATAACTATAGAATAATAATATTTAGACAATATTTTTTCTCTAAGATTAAAAAAGGTAAAATTGCTTTTTAACATTTTTTTTTTATGTTTAGGATAATTTACTTTTTTCTCACTTTAAGTAAGGAAATTATTTTTGTAAAAGTAACTGATGATACTATCAAAATATGTAACCTACATATTTTTAACTTAATTTAATAAAATAAGGTATTTATCTTGAAAATTCCTTATTTACTTATAAGTAAATTTATATTTTTAATAAGATTTTATATATATATATATTTTATAGAGTAAATTATTTACTCATAAGTATATTTTTACTTACAAGAAAATTTATGTATCAGTTTAACTAACTTTTTTCTTGTTATTCATGAAATGGTGAATTAAGAATTCAGTCTAAATTCATCTGATAAAGCATATTATTTTAATCCATTTCATTAAATGAGGATAAATTTCATAGACTGATTAAATCTAATTATTTGCACCAAAGATCGAACAAAATTAAATTAATTGTTATTCGATATAATATAGTGCACCAAATATATCAAAAAAGTTAAATTTTAAAGTGAAAACCATGACTAAATTTTGCACCTCATAGAAATGGTAAGCACAATGTTGCCTACAAGACTGAAAAATATTGAGCACGAGTATATCGCTACATAAATAAAATCGGGGTCCAGTATTTATGGAGAAAAAAAAAAAAACTTGAAAATTTAATTTTCCAGTGGACCTCAGAGTTAAAGACTCAAAAAGTACCAATAAGATGTGAGTTTGTTAATTAAAAAATATCTGGTAGTAACATAGTGTTACTTTCAGTAAAGTAAGTTAAGATTATTCATTGTAAGTAAATGTGACTTTGCTAATTAAAAAAAGTTAAGTTTGAAATTTTTAACAAAATAAGTAATTTAATAATAAGTTTAATTTACTAGTCATCATATATATGTCAACTCTTATCGACATTGACAAACTAAGCACATTATTCTCAATAAAATCTAGATCGACCCTCTTTGTTCAATTAATCGGAACAATTAGATCGTTAGCACGTCAAATTATCCGTCTTCTAACACGTTTTATTGAAATTTACGTCTATTTTACGATCGGATAATCCTCTTTCAAACCTACACAGAACATCTCTATAGCCTAGATCGTCCTTCCCTAACCCTAGGCTTAAAAACAATTAGAAAGAATGCATGCATATTTCAATTACTGGTGAACTTCTCCCAAACAAGAATTTGCATCAAGTACTAAGTTTAATATAAATGTCTTTCTTTTTAATCGTTTTATGGAGAAACTTCTTCAAATCGATGGAAAACATATTTCAAATCTAAGCTCTTGTTTAGTACACATTTTTTAAAACTCATTTTTAACGATGCATTCTCTCAATAAAATTATTTTGCCGGTGGAGTCGTAACTTTTCCTTACTTTAGATACACATTTTCTCCCAAAAAAAAAAAGAACCCTTTTCGAAAAAATCTATATCAAATAGACCCTAAATCGTTCGTCCCTAAACACGAACCTGAAAAGATCAATAACAAAAATGCAAACAGTGATGCCAGACAGCTTCGTTCAAACAAGAATTTACACGAGTACAATAACCCTTCATTCTTCTATTTTTTGGGATCTTTCTTCTCTGTCCTTTTAAGTGATTTCGAAATGGCAGGCAATTAAATCTCAGCCCTACAGAAAATTGAAGTGCCTTTGGCCCATTAAAATGAAGAAAATTGCAATGAAATGCCGTATCCAGATAATAGAGAGACTCCATAGACAGTACAAAAGATTATAGGCCCATCACGTGGTTCTAGTAAATGGATTTAAATTCACATACTCATACAGCAAAGCTTGCAATAGCAGAAATAGTACATAAAATTTCGTCGTGGTTGTATAATTACACCGTTTGTTTGATGGAGATTAAAATTAAATTTTTTGTAAATTTTAATAAAAATTGATGAAATATGGTAGTTTTCATATGGAATGAAATAATTTCATTGATTGTATGTATGGTACACTGATATATATTAATCTTGCTATGTATGAAAATAAAATTAATCTAGGAAACTATATATCCCTGTAATCACGGTTAATACTTCGCCTCAAGTTGGAGCATGAAAATATGTAATGTCCAACTTGCAAGTGAAGTGATGAAAGAGATCCTTCCAAGAAGCCTTAGTGAAGATATCAGTCAGTTGAAGCTTGGTAGAGACGTGTAGGAAGAATGAGTCCAAAAACATATATTTCAAGCACAAAAATGGAATGAAATAATTTCATTGACAGTTTTGTTAAAAATTGACAGAATTTTTACAAAGAAACACTTGTCAGTTTTTTATTGATTTTCGACACAACAAATGCAAAAATTGTACCATACAGATATTGCTAACACAACACCTGTACCATTTCTGTCAATTATTCCCTATACCTATGGAATTATTCTTTCATTGATTGTATGAATGGTACACTGGTGTATAAATACCTGTATAATCTTGCTATGTATAGAAATAAAATTAATCTAGGAAATAATCTCTATATATCCTTGTAATCACGGTCAATAAAATATGTGATTAAGAAATTGTAGAATCTATGAAATGTATGGTTGAAAATGAGCTTGAATAATTGAATTTTAGAAAATAAGGGACAAACATTGACTTAATTTCTTTGCAAGTTAAGTTCGTCTCCATGTGTAAAGGATGTGGAACTTTCTTGATCACTTCTTCGACATTTTGGATAGCAAATCTCAATTGGCTCACAGAACTTTAATTGTCTCAATTGAGTCATTAAATTTCAAATACCCCACTCTTGCGTCTGCAGTGTTCCAAAATGATGAAAATTTCTTAATTGACATACGTACAACAACGGATCTGTCATGCAAATTTTGTGTGGCATACTAAAATATCATTGAACCATGCCATAAAAGTGTTTAAATAATTTTAAAAATATACGTCTTTTAATCGTTTAATAAAAAGATATTGTCATAACTCTCATTTTACATTTTTCATTTTTAGGGTGCCAAGCAGCATTTTATGTCCATTTTAAGGATGATAGGTGATGAAATCTGGCAAAATGATAGAAAAAAATTGAAATTAAGCCCTTGTTTGAGTCCGATTCTTTTGATAAGAATGAATTTTTGAATAATGTATTGATGAAAAATTTGTGGTTAAAAATTAAGAAAAAAATTTTGAATTTGCGTATAATGTTATTTTATTGAAGAATGTATGATTTAAATGATGTCAAAATATTGTTTAAGAGTATTTTTTTTTTTTTCAAAGAATGGAAATCAGGGGCTAAATTCAAGTTTGATGACCAATTAAGACATTAAAGTTTAATGACTTAATTTAAAATTTTCTGACTGCATGTGAAATTTACCTCTACATTTTCACCCTCAAATGAAGTATTGTTGTAAGTTGTAACATAAGCTTTAAACCTTCATGAATTTTCGATTATTTAATACTGATTTTCAGATTTATTTCTGTGAATAACTAGAATATGTATAGATTTGTAATGGTATTAATAAATACATTATAATGTTAGGTGTTACGATATTGCACTATGACAAAAGGTTTAAAAAATGTGGTTTTTATTGTGAAGTAAAATAAGAAAGATAACATAATAAGCTGAAAAGCTTTAATTAAGAACTGAAAGAAGATTTCTCATTTCTATTGTATACTGTCAAGAAAATTGTATGTAATAAAGTTTTGTAAATATTACAAAGAAGAAGACCTTATTTATATGGTTACAAATAACTGTAAAAGGAAATACTGTAAAAGAAAAAATTGTGTAATAATTATACAATCAATTATTAAGGAAAATAATCCTACACTATTGGAAAACTATCATAGAGAAATATTGATTCTATATATTATTATACTCTACTGACATCTCTCTCAAATTGATGCTTGTAAATCATCAATTCGCAATCGCGAACTGGATGTGCTGTCAA